TTTTGGAAAACCCATACGACTGAAAATCTGTAAGAAAGCATCAATTACAGATGGCGAAGAAAATGTTGGCTGTTGAGGTGACAGATGAATTACATCTGTCCCCGCTACAGCATCTGGATATTTGGACGACATACACAGAGCTGTAATAATATATTTTTTTCATATATCAGTCTTTGAAAATAGGTAAGCGGACCAACGAGCATCGACATTTATTTTAGTGAATATTTCGGAAATTACTGGTACTAATGTCATTGGAGCCTTCTTTTTCTTGTCATTTCCCTTTTCCAGCGCGCTGACAAGCATCACAGGTTTTTACAAAATCTTTCAGGTTTCTTTGTAACACCTCGTCCAGTAAAATATATCTAGCAAGTCTGTCTTTGGTCTTTTTGACACCCAAATGACCAGAAGTTCCTTCTTGGCACATCTTTGTAATTGACGGCTTGAGTTTTTTTCAGGTTATAACGACAAGCTGTCTTTCAAAGCCCATTTTATCCGTCGTTTTTTTAACTAAAAGCTCTTTTCAGTACTATTTTTTCTCATTTTTGCATGTACCTTCTTGGATTCTTTAACTTTTTTGGATGATTTTAGACAGTTCCTTATCAGCAAGCTGAAGTTGTGCAATTTCTTCTGAGTCAATGTTTATCAGTTTCATGAGAGTTTCATCTTCCGAATTTAGCTCCGGTAAATTATCTTCTTCTTCAAAAACATCTCTGGATGCTTTATTTTCTTCCTTCATCGGTTCCAAGATCTTCTCTTCGGCTATTTCTCTTTTCTTCTGAGCTCTAGTAGAGACAGCATTAACCTGGTGAGGACAACTATCAGGTTCCTTTCCTTGTTTATTCAACAGTGCAAAAGTTCGATTGCCTAATAAATACCTTCCTTTGTCGAGTTCATTTCTAATAATGGCAGCCTTATTTATTACTCGCCCAAGATCGCAATTTAGTTCGATCTCAGCCAATGGTAAACAGGTTGGATTCAAATCTAATGGCTGTTGCACCCACACATTTTCACCTGTCAGCATTTCCGGCGTGATGTATTTGCGACAAACTATATCAATACTAGCACCTGAATCCCTTAATATAGGAATTTTATGACCATTTACGTAACCCATACTAGTATAAGGTAATAGAAATTTATCCTCTGGTTTTGCACTAATTCTGTTAAGATTAGCAGGAGATTCAGTACTATTCTTAAGTTTTGGACATTGGGGTCTTAAATGTTGATAGGACCCACACTGATAGCATTGTTGCGTTTTTCGTTTTTCATATTTATCATCTGGACGTGGACTTCTAGGTCTATGAAACCAGCTTTGCGAATTAAATCCTGATGACAATTTTTTTTCAGTTTTATTTTTATTATCTGAACTCAATTTACCATGACTTAGTGCATTTTATCTTTCTGCCGATCCACTACAGGCCTTTTTTGAAAGTTTCCGCAAACGTTTTCATAGGCATCAAGTTCTTCAGCTAATGTTTTAGATGAAATCATCTCTACCCATTCATCAAGAAAATGATCTCGAATTTCAGGAGGAACTCGACGTTTAAGTTGGTCAAGCACCATCAAATCTAGCAACTGATCAAAAGTCTTAACTCCTAGACCAGTCACCCATTCTTTGCAATAATTTTCTATTTCATAATTGAAATCCACCCATGTGGATTCGGTACTTTTTTTGATGTTTCATAAATTTCTGCCTAAACTTTTCTGGGCTTAATTTAAACCGTCTTAACAATAAATTTTTCACGTGTTCATAGTCTTTAGCTTTATCGGAGGGTTCTCTAGCTATTAACTGGGTTACTTCGTAAGGAAGTAGTCCTAGTAAATGAGATACAAATTCTTCTTTATCAATTTTAGCCCATTCTGCTTGCCTTTCAAACAATAGCAAATATAGACTGATATCTCCTTTCTTGTCATCGAATTTCTGCATAAGGTGACGCAGCTCCGTATTCGGCCGGATCTTCTCCGGTATTTTGAGACTTTGTCTCTGCTTCAATTCTTAATCTCTAATTCATACTGTTCGTTTCTTCTCCGCTCTTCTGCTTCTTCCTGTCTCCTACGTTCTTTTCTTTCCTCCCTCTCTTTCCTTTCTTCTCTTTCCCTTTCCTCCCTCTCTTTCCGTTCTTCTATTATTGTGTCTAAAACTCCTTTCACGAAGACTTCATCATAATCTCTACTTTCAACAATTTTCTGTTTTAAATCAACTATTTTCAAATCTGCAGTCACATGAACTCCCAGTTCAGCTGCGAGATTTTGAAAATCTTCCTTACGAGCTCTTATTAAGTAAGACATTGTTTCTATGTTTAAAATTAACGAACACTGTGTTCCTATATTTCCTCAAAATAGCTCAAAAATGAAATATTTAAATTATATCAAGTTCATTCTCTCTACCACATTAATTGTGATTAAAATAAGAATAATAACATAGAGCAATATATATATCTACCGTATGGACAACTAAAAAGAATATTAAATATAATATCAAATACGGTAATAAAATAAGACAATTTATTATTAACAGGAAGTAATAATCTGGTATCACTAATATTGCGTTCAGTGATGAACTAATAAAATAAAGCAATTCTATATGAACAAGAAGTAATAATCTGGTATCACTAATATTATGTTCAGTGATGAACTAATAAAATAAAGCAATTCTTTATGAACAGGAAGTAATAATCTGGTATCATTAATATTATGTTCAGTGATGAACTAATAAAATAAAAATACGCACGATTATTCGATCTCGGTCGGTGCCTCCAAAATAATTAAGACTGTAATACTTCTTTGGCGAAATGAAGCAGCTCCAATGATGGAACACAGCAATAACTTTTATTTAACACTCAAAAATGGCGACGTACAAACAAGAAGAGAAAACATATTCTATCATTTAAAAATAAATTACATTCTTCGTACGAGATTCGCACGAGGCACTCGAGTCTGGTTTCAAATATTGCCATTCACAAATACCTTAATGTTCATCTATTTAAATTATTTAATCTACAAGATTTTAATATTATTTAAAGCTGTTACAATACGCACTAGCTCCACTGAGGTGGACGTCACTACAAGCTTTAGTAGATTTTTAGTGTCTCTGACAACTAGTCTCTTTTGCTAGCTGTCAGAGACAGACCATAGTTTCTTTTAGAATAGCTGACATTTTTGAAAACGTTGACTACATAGATATTTTGATAGAAAACAACTTAGGGGTAAGATAATGTGAGATATCTCTTTAAATTTCTTTACATTACAATTCAAATTAAACGGATTTATCTCCTTAAAGATAATGGAAGTGAGACCACTTCATATATTTTATACAGGATATCCTACTAACCTCTTCGCCGAAAGCAGTTACAGTTACGACTAAGATCAAAGGTTTGCTCGCAGTAAAAAGTATTACTTCCGGGAATGAAAAAAAATTTTAAAATAATGCTTTAAAATGTTTTCTACTATTTTACAGGCATTTAAATGCCAGTATATATTTACTGTTATGAAACATATTTACAAAAGAGATGTTAAGTATAAAATTTAAAGACAGGAGTTGGAGTTTACCAAAAAGAATCTAAATAAAGGAATTTTAATAACGAGTGTACTGCTGGAATATCAACCGAAAATTTTCGCGGTTACACTTCGTACAAGCGCCCATTAGCGGCTGAGCGGTAAAATCGCTGAACACTGGTAGTTCGGTCCAACTTTCGAATCCCGGAGAACGGCCTGGCTGCGTGCGTGTTTTCGTGATTTTCCGCACCGCTGAATACTGGTACAGTAAGACCCCGCTTAACGCTGTTTCGGTTTAGCGCTCTTTTATTTCAACCCGGGGATTCCACGAAATCGCTCGCAGCATACGGGGATTCCCCGAAATATTATGCAGCGATAGGTTTCAAATACATATCCGAAAGAGTGTACTTGTATTTCTTGTTTGGTGCGGTATTGTACAGACATATTTTGAAGGGGTAAATGTGGAAGATGTCGAAGAAATAATTCAAGAAGCAGCGGCTAGTTTTTTTAATGATGAGCTCAAGTAATTAACTGAACAAGAAGAAAACAAAAATGTTGACAGCACTGATTCAGAAGAAGAGCAAAAAGAATTTTCGATGGCGTTTGTAAAAAGGAGTTTGTCTACCATAACTGAAATAATGGATCAATTCATTGAAAATGATCCGAATTTTGACTTTAGCTCAAAAGTAAGGCGTGGTGTTAGAGATCCTCTATCCGTTTATGAAAGAACTTTTAAGAGAACAACGCAAAAAAAAAAAAAAAAAAAAAAAAAAAAAAAAAAAAAAAAAGGAAAAAACGGCAAACAACATTAGATGCTTTTGTCACAAAAAGGCAGAACACTGAAAACGCGGAAGGCTACTAACTAAATATGACTGACTGAGAATTTTATTTGTTTTTTTTTTAAGAATATTCGTTTTGTTATTTATATTTTGTTTTTATTTTTGCAAGAAATAATAATGTGGTATTAATTTGGGCTTTAAGAAATAAATGTTTGGTTTTATTTTTATTAAAAAAACATACTTTTTAAATTTAATACCTAACCAATTTCCTAGCCATCTTCCCCTAAGCCCAATATTTACATGTAAAGATAGCCTCGTTTAGTGCTGTTTCGCATTACGCTCTACTTTGATGGAACGTATCCCCCGCGTTAAGCGGGGTCTTACTGTAGTTCAGTCCAACTTTCTAATCCCGGCGAGCGGGCTGGCTACATGTGTGCTTTCGGGATTTTCCGCATGCAGAAGATACTGCATGCATACGTTAATCGCTGTGAACTGGTGGTTCGGTCCAACTTTCGAATACCAAGAAGGCATCCCTTCCTTCATGTAGCGGGCTTCAGCCCGCTCAGCTGGCGGGCTTGCCCGCTAGTATCCTAATAACTTCTTATAGTCAAATTCAGTTATTGAAAGTTTCACATGGATGACGTGACCTTCCCGCGAAAATTTTCACCAGATGTTCTATTATGGAATGTATTATGTCTATTATGGAATGTATGTCTATTATTATACTAGGAAAACTGGAGACCTTGGATAAAAAATTAGAAAGTAAAGCAACAATGGAAATCAACTATTTTGCTAATGTTCCTCTGGAAGGCATTCCCAACACCATTACTGGACTCCGAGATCTAGTTAGAAATTTCGAGCAACATGTCAAAAAAGTAAACAACGGCTGGGGTGTACCAGCTGAAGTGGAATTGTCGGACCTATCGATGTATGATAGAGGTTTGCATATTAAAAATGCGTAAGTTTTATATCCTTCTTAAGCACGTTTTGTGTTTGAAAATGTTTCTGTGAATAGCACCCAACAGCATTTAATTCGCATGCGAATGTTAATAGAATGAATAGATATTTCTGTGCTTTTTAATAAAATTTGTTATTTTACTTGTTTGGATATTTGAATTGCCTTTATTCTTGCTGCCGCTAGTTTTGTGATCTCTAATTTTGATTTTCAGGTTCTTTTTAATCTTTAACCTAATGATAACATAGGACTAATTCATAGCTAAATAATTAGGTAAGATGATATCAAATTGTTATCTGAAGAGGAAATTTCGATGATTTAAAATTAGGAAGAAACACTAAAATTAAAATGTATTGAAGAGAATGATATCCTCTTTAGAGCATTAATGACAAGAATTAATAATAATTAAACTAAATTTGTTTTGTGTATGTGTGCTTGTATATGCGTGCGTGGGTGCGTGTGTGTGAGAAAGAGACACAGATATAGAAAAGCAAGAAGAGAAAAAGATGGCTAGCCAGACAGACGTAGCGAGGTAAAACAACATAGAGAATAGGGGAACCACATAAATAGAAATATAAGAAAATTTATTTTGTCAGCCGATTACATCACGGACGAAAACATCGCGGAGAAAACAACGGAAGGCGAAAACGTCGTGCTACAAAACATCGTGGGAGAAAACATCACAAAGAGAAAACATCGCAATTCTCGTGGTACAAAACATCGTCGTCGAAAATAAAGCGGTTCAAAAACTTCGTAGTTTAAAAACATCGTCGTCGAAAATAGCGTGGTAAAAAATAAAGTATCTATAAATCATCGCATGACGATAACATCGCAGACATGCTTTTTTCAGGTTTTAATAATTGTAAATGGAAATTCCCATAATGATTTGTGAGCGCAAGATGGAAAGAAGGATAATTTCTACTTTTATATTTTTTTATTAACTAATAAATTTTTGCTGAGAAAATAAGAAGGAAACTTAAGCATAGAAAATTAATGCAACTTATAGCACTTAATAGAATTTTAAACCGACATAGTTAACTAACAAAGCCCATTAATAAATCATTTTTATAAAGTTTTTAAAGGTAATTTTTTATGTAAAGTATAATCTATACTAATTCAGAAGTCAAACAAGTTGTGTCTTAATTATAATCTATAATTTGCATTTAATTTTCTATGCTTAAGTTTTCTTCTTACTTTTTGAGGAAATTTTATTAGTTAATAAAAAAATGTGAAAATAAAAATTATTCTTCTTTCCATCTCGAGCTCACAAATCATTATAGGAATATCCATTTACAATTATTAAAACCTGACAAAGCATGTCTGCGATGTTATCGTCATGCGATGATTTGTAGATACTTTATTTTTTACCGCGATATTTTCGACGACGATGTTTTTAAATTGCAAAGTTTTTTTCGACGACGATGTTTTGTACCACGATGTTTTAGAACTGCGATGTTTTCTCTTTGCGATGTTTTCTCCCACGATGTTTTGTAGCACGACGTTTTCGCCTTGCGTTGTTTTCTCCGCGACGTTTTCGTCCGTGATGTTTTTGCCGCGATGTTTTCGGCTGTAACCAAAATTTATATACTCTTACATCTTATTTTCATTTTGGAAACAATTTTCCTAAAATCTTAATTACAGAACCCAACATTCAAGAAACATTTGTAAAATTAAAAAGGTATATTTTTTCCCTTAAAAAAGTTTAATTCATTTCAGCTTAAAACAAATGCAAAGTTCTTGCAGCTTGCTAGTTTACAAATAATAGGCAGTTTCAGATGATTATTTACAAAATTATTTCTAGTTAGTTAAATCTGCAAAAGACTAACTTATCTGCCAGACACTTTTTTATTTGTTAAAATAACATATGATTTAGGGAATTTGCAATCTATCACTTCTTCAACAAATCTGGCCTCGTTTTAAAAGTTTTCTTAGAAGCTAACACCGATAACAAACAGTAACTATAATCACATCTTAACTAGCACCGATAGCAAACACCACGAGATTACTTACTATAGCAAGACTACAGTAAATTCAGTTTAGCAATGAATAGTTTAATAAATGAATCACCTTCATCATTTCCTTATTACTTTTGATATTCTTTTGAGTCTATATATTACTGGAGTGCGAGACTGAAATAAGGAAGAGCAAGCAGTAAAAGAAATGAAAGGTTCATGTACTATTACAGAATAATAATAACCTATAAAATGTTAAAGACATAATTAGAGCATCGTATAAACACATGTGCAAGTTCAAAAGACCTTCAAATATCTAGCAATAATAATAATAATAATAGTATTTTAATATAAAACATCAATTAAGATTTCATTCATTTAGTATGCAAAATATACTTAATAATCAGTTTGCCTGGTACCATCCATTCTTTTGTGTCTTTTTAATTTTTCTCAGAGTGTTTCAAAAAACAAAGAAAAACTTTAAGAGATGATGCAGCACAACGAAATAAACTGTTGTTTGTTACAAAATTCATGGCCGAAAATAAAGTACATTTGTGGAACTATGGCTTGCCGTTTTAAGCAAGCTATAGTTCCGCAAGCATAAATTAGTTGCGGCTACAAGTTTGAGACGATGGATCAGTAGACGATTGAGAGAAAGTCGATATGTACTTTTTCATTCAATTATGGAAAGTACAGTACTTTCCTTCAGGCGGTCTCCCCAAAATTTCTGGACAAAGTTACAATAGCCATCCAGTCGCGAACGTATTCCAGCAAGCTGGAACACCAGCCCATTTTCTGTAAGACAAACGGAATTATATAGATTTCTGTAAGACAAAGGGAATTATATAGATTTCTGTAAGACAAAGGGAATTATCTAGATATCATCTTTCCAGGTTGTTCGCTAGGTTGTTTGTCTTATGTGATGAAGACGACATGCGTTGCGATCGTAAATGAAGGAGGGTTGAAAAGACCTTGAAATGCCTATTTAAAGTAACAGATAAAAGCCTAACGTATCTAGACACGTTTCCGTTGGGACAAATGACCCAAGTCTTTTTTGAGAGACTTTCGTTAAATCTGATGTAAAATTGGTCACAGAATTTTGGCTGGTTTTGCCTTTGTGCGATAGGTCAAATATTTATTACATAGAGATATTTAAATAAAGATGAATGGTTGTAGAAAGTTCGAGAATTCATCTGTTGCCACTATAGATTGGCGATTGCTATTTCGAGGAATTAGAATAATTATTGGGATTAAAGTTGCTTTCCCATCTTCTATATCGTTCTTGAGTTTGCATCTGAAGTTCTTTACGTTTTATTTTTTACTACGTAATTTAGTGTCAAAAATAATTGTTGAATGTTCTACCATTTTTTAACAGTTTGCCCCTTCATTTTTGAAACAGTGTATTTAATATCTTTTACATAAATCATGTAAGATTGATTATTCTTTATAAGCTTCTGAAATTGGTGTTTTTGAAACGCAATTTTTCAGAGCCTTAGATGCAGAACTTCAATTTTTTGAGGAGTATTTTGATGATTTGTTAACAACTAAATCACGCTTTAATTCATGGATGCGAACTTTGCCAGATGAACTCAATCCAAATGATGAAAAAATGGTGAGTAAACTCTAATCATCCTTCTTCTTTCACTGTAATTAGAATGTAGAGTACCATTTCTTTAAAAATGAAAGTATAACTAATGCAAAGCTGTATCATATAAGAGAAAAATGTCAAAATGTATCATAATATATTTACATTACTTATGAATTGTGATTCTAAAATTTAAAATTCAGCAATTTTCCCCCTCAGTTCAGTTAATTAGTTAATTATACAAAAAACTTAGAAGATTGTTTAATAAAGTAGCTGTAAAAAGAATTAAGAGCTGATATAATGATGAGATTTTAAAGAATTTATTGCGAATATTTTCTTCACGTTCGCATGAATATCTTTAAATGGAGATTGAAATTAAAGAAAATCGCTGTGAAATTACTTTTAATGTAAAATATAAACAATTTAAATATCAGAAAACATAAATAATTAGTTTCAGGTATCAAAAGCAATATGTGACATCAGTAAAACTAAGATAGGTGTTTTTTCAAAGTATTGTTATTAATACTGAAATTGCTTGGTACTGGTAGGTGAAGTAGTACTAGTAGAAGTACTGGTAGAAGTGGTACTGGTAGAAGTGGTACTGGTAGAAGTGGCATTTTACAATGCATCGAACTCTTCTTTGAAATGACAAGTACCTGCACTAAGAAACGAAACGAAAACCTAGAATTCTCTAATAGAAGAAAACTAACAAGTATCTAAAATATTCTAGTAAAATACACTAACTAAAATTAACAAATTAAAAAAAAACTAACAAGAAACTAATTCACTACAGAATTTCGACGAAATAAAATTAGAAGCAAAGGAAACATGTCTTCTGCTTTAGGATAAGAGGTAATGAACTAGGAGCAAAATAAGGTATATCATCAGCTATCCGGCTAACTGTTATCACAGCTATATGGGCAATCGATAAATCTTTATAACTGAATTGCTTAGTTTGAGCAAACACAGACATATTTATTGCAATGCAAGTAACGAAATTTTATTTTTTCTTATTATGTGTTTTATTTAAGTAAAGATTAATAAAGCATAAAATTTTAGCATAGAACCCTGTGTTTAACGTGATACTCATATAATATGTATAAAAATGATAAAGTTGAAATGATAAATTACATTATCAATGTTAAAGAACAATTACATATTCTATTGGTCACTACATTGTACATTTTCAATGCGTCTCTCCTTTCTTAAAAATGAAAACAGAAATTTTTGATAATTATTTTGACCCACTGGGAATTAAAGAATAATGAAAAAATAACACTGGTACTTTATAATATCATGTACCAAATCAGTGCACGGCAGCTCAAAATTATAGTTTCAATAAAAGTAATGACGGCGTTGAAATATCCGTTCCATTACTCTTTAATACTCTTGCCGTTTATGTCTGTTTATATATATGTAATAATAAAATTCCATAATAAAGAATACACTTAAAATTCTAACTGTATGTTCTTTTCATTTTTAATGGCGACGTTCTCTTATTTGAAAGTACGTGGAATTAAATCCACAGCCCCGCAGTCAAGTTGTTTTTCCCGCCTTTTCTACACGTACAGTTATAGAATGTTCTGGAAATATTTAAAGCGAACTGGATTGGCTGACGAGGCTGACGTCATTTGTTGGAAGCTCCGCCTTTCCAGAGGCTATAAAAGGACTCGCAAAGGAATATCGGGGCTTTTCTTAAATGTCACGATGCAGTAAACTTCATACAAAAAGTTATTAGTAATTCTTTTTATTTACTCCGGATATCTGATTTTGTAACTGCTATTTCTCATAACCAATAATAAATGGATCCTGTTTTTTAAACTTATCGTCTGATAATTTAAGCTACGACTACATTTATGATTCTTCAACAATCTATTTATTCCTGACAAAAGCTGGTACATCACATATATGTATGTCTAACTTGCTGTTTATCACGCACATATCTTTTGACTCAATGAACACGTTTCTTCCAGATCCATTTTTAAGTTTCTGGATTGTGGTTATTTTAAAACAACAACCATAAGTATCCATTTATGTTCTTGATCAAGATTTCCAAAGAAAAGAGCACAGGAAGTGTCTGCGGTGCAGTAACAGTTACTTTGTTACACTCATTCACGCTTGAAGCGGATTTTGTAGCTTGAGAAAAATTTATTGTTTAAAATTTCAAAACTATTTTTGGAATGTGACAAACTCCAGATAATTGAAACCGCGGGTACTGAATCTGAAGATATAAAAGCAAGAATATACAGTGAAACCGAATTATGAATGAAGATCATCCATGTTCTAAGTTTTCCTTGGAAGTAGTTGCTTTATAAAGAACGTGATCATTGATGATTTTCACTCATGAATGATAATTAGTTATGTTCTCAGAAATGTTGGTCACTTTCAGAAATGGTGGTTTTAGGTTAGCAATGAGAAATTTCACTGTATCTGTCGTATTACTATTCTTCTAAGTGTTAAAAAAAAGATCTTGAGGAGACCGAAAAATCGATATCTCATGCTCCGAAATCTTGGTATCCAAGTTCAGTGTTAAGCAAATTTTATCGTTTGTTATTAGCTTTTTTTTTTTTTAGTCCAAAGGGGCTTTGTCCCTGAAGGACTATTGTTTTCGTTTTGCGATTTTGCGTCGGACTCATAAACGTCGGTTCACTTTTCAAACTGTTGCCACAAAATGTTAGAGTCCTGCATTATATTTGAAGAAATTAAATAATGAAAAATCTGCATAATTGATTGTCTATTTCTAGCATTGTGATAAAACAATGGTACATAGAGCCATCGAATTTTGAATGACGAAATCCTACTGCGAATATGGGCATCTGAAATCCCAAATTTGGAATTTGTTTTATTATAGATTTTATATTTTGTAAAACTTTAACGAATTTTAGATTTACAAACTCAATGCTTTAAAAGCGAGAAATGGCAACGTTATATAGAAAAAAAAATACTTTTATCTCCAGCTCGCGAGACTGTGTATATCGGAAATTCTAAAGATATGCTTAATTTAACATTATTTTGCGATATTGCTCTTGAACTGAATTTTATGGTTTAAGTGCAAAGAACATGATATTTAATAAATAAAGGTAACACTCAAAACGTTAAAAAAACGCCCCTTTGGACGTAATTTAAAATCTGAAACATTTCAGATTTTTTTTTTTTTTTTAAATTTCCAATGCGATGCTGTAATCAATACGATATTAGACAAAATAATGTTTTTTCAGTTGATACGTATCACACTATTTCTTTGTTACGTATATATAACGTTAAACAGCATGACAATTTCGTGTGCGTCTGCTGTTAAATATTCATTTGTTGGGCAAAGGTTTATCGTCTATATCAGGGTCCATTAATCAAATAAAATTCCTAACATATTCCCTAACATAATATACATAAACATAACATAACATAACATAAATTGTAAAAATTCCTAACATATTCCCTAACATATTGAGAAGTTGTAGCGAAAAAAGACGTTAATGTCACTTGATAATTCCAAGAAATGTGGTAGATCTGAAGCAGTTATAGAACAAATGACACAACTAAAATACAGAAGCTAAAATATTGCTATCAACATGAATAAATTAATTTAATAGGCTATAAATATTAACATTAAGTATAAATTAGCCCCGATGTTAAAAGATATACAATAGACCCTAGAGAAGATTTAATTAATCAATTTGTTTCTTTTTTTAATAATTAAAAACGTAATTTATAAAATGACTGATTCCTTCTTTCTGAAAGCATGTTTTTATCTTTCTTAATTACTGTTCCTGGTTAAATCATATGAATCTTTTAATACTTAGGCTCCGAAAGCAGACTTAGGCTCCGAAAATTCCTAATTTTCCTCAAAAATTGTGTCGTCGTTAATTCGATTTGCTTTGTAAATAAATATGATAATGATCATGGTAATTTAAAAATCAGTAGTCTGTATATTCATATTTAATGAAAATTAAAAGAATTGACCACTAGTCTCTTTCTACAAAGTTTCTACCAACATTGTTTTACGAAGTTTATCCTAAAATTTTTTTAAACAACTCAGAAAATTTTAGGTCAATAAATTTGCAATAAAATGTTATGCTATTATTTTTGGAAAATATTTTTTTCGATGATAGAAATGCGTATTAACAAGCAGAAATAGCATTCAAAATGCAATTTTAATTCATTTCTTTTAAATAAAACACAAATAGAACAAAAACTAATCAAAAGCTGAAAGAGAATAAACTATTTCCAATAATATAAATGCTTAGAAGATCAACTTGAGTGTCTGAAAAATTTAAAAATTTTGTTGCACTCAACACCAATATTTTACATTGGTTTTTAAATACTAAGGGCTACTGTTGGTAAGAGCTGTTTTAAACTGTAATTGCGAAAGCATTTTATATGTAAGAATAATGAGGAAACGTTTGAAACTTATTCTTATATGAAACTTATTCTTATTTGAAACTTATTCTTATATGAAACTTATTCTTATTTGAAACTTATTCTTCTTTGGAAGAGAAACATTCTAATGCTAAATTTAAAATTCGAGAAAAATATTAAGAGGACTGGCATCGATTCTGAATAAAAGTTCATTAGTTTCGTAGGCAATCTGATATAAGTTTTTCTTTTGCAGAAAAAGAAAATTAATTTGCCTAGTTTTAAACACCTCGTTAATACTTGAATTTTTTTCCTAAAATTTTATAAATTGTATTCCATTTTCTCCTTCCCTTTTCAAATCAAGTAACAACTTCGAGTCGATATTTCTACTATTATTTTACATCTAAAAATAGCAGGAAATATTTTAATTTCAATCTTTGTTGACTGCAGTAAAGCGTAGTACAGCACAGAATTTATTTAAAACAAAAAACTTAAAAATTTGCAAATGTGGTTTCATAAGCAAGAAGTTATAAAAGCAAACACACATATATAGAGAGACATGCTTCATATATACAGACATGCTTCATTTATTTCTACACTCCCTAAAAACATTTCTATTTTTAACTTCAACATTTGTTCTGCATTATTTTACAGTAATTCTTGGCGCATTCTTC